GACTGTCCCGTAAAATCAGTATTTGAGTTCAGTCAGACCTCCGGACCACATTTCATTCCACTGTCAGGTTGGACCACCAAAACATATCACCACATTGTGCATAAGGAGCATATAAAGTATTGAACATGTTTGACAATCAGGGACAAGGTGTATTTGAAGAGTCTGTGATGACAACTGCCCAAAGAGAGTACGGTTTCTAGATCAAATGGTGTTCGTAAAGTGAGGTCCAGTCTGCTCCAATGACATTGGAGGTGGTCGTCGTCGNCACATTTTGACGCTCAAACCCCGTCACTGTCTTGCAATGTTGGTAGTAGACAGTGTCACTATCGCCCAGCTCAATATCAGACCTACCCTATGGGGTGAATCGGCACTCCAAGTTCCAGGCCTTTAGTTACCGGTTATCATAAATGTACGGCAAGTGTTGATGATTGGGCGGTTTATTGTTTAGATTGTTCAACATAATGAATTAAAGAGCTTCACACCACTCTATCAATTCTTTTATGAAATAAACAAATTGCGTATGCCTAGCTGTCGTCTGCCTCACCGCGCTCCGTTCGCTGTAGCCGCTCTGGGCTGGAATAAGCCCCGAAGAAGTCAACAAATGAAGTNTATTGGGTAGAGTAGATATCTCCCCCGCCCTCCAGGTGGAGGTTCACAAGAGGCAATGCTCACCTTGCATAGTCTCACTAACTTTGTATGCATTGCAAGTTTTGGAGGCAATCAGTGAAGTTTGCCCCGCTGTATTTCGCTGTAAGATTATGGTAATGATGATGACGAGGATCTGATAAGATCCATTCACTGTTCAGTGTTCAATGCACCTATGATATGTTCACCATATAAATCTCACTTTTGTTGACATGAACAATTCATATTTCACATCTACTGTGAAAAAGTAAAACAAGATTTTCAATGAAATACGGAACCATGTAGACGGGTTTTGGTACTACGACCAATACGGATCAATGGAATGTCATCTCATATCGAAAAATGGCTTGCTTGTCATTCAATCTGAACGAATAGATAAACGTAAAGTCTATGGTTCCTGAGAGCTATAACGATGAGAGTTTGAGTAAAATTTTACTGCCTGGCGGGGGGATGGGGAGCCATTCAACAATCTGCTGGGAACAGCAAAAGATGTGTCGTATGCCGTGACTAATTTATATTTGTTCGGCTTGTTCAGATTGCCAACTGACTCGATTGAGTTTTGGCGTCCGGCAGTGAGTCTTATCGTAGGTTCGCTAGAGGACGAAATCATCACACCGATGTGCCAGTTGTTTGTGCAAATTGAATCAACCTGGAAATTCGAACTACGGTAAAAACTTGATGCATTGCTCAAAGCAGCTAAACGCACATTCGCAATGAGATAGACAATCTGAGAGAGAAACTGCGCAATTCACATCCAGAGCTATATAGGTCTAAAACAAACGTAGAGATTAGGTGTGAACAAAACCAGATGTAAGTAGGATAAACAAAAGTATGCGAAGCTTGTCGAATGGTGGGGGGAGGCACCACGTGAGTGAGATTCGGGGCCGAGGTTTGGGGAAGGGAAGCGAGACTGACCCGAATAAAATTGTACAGTAGAAATGAGAGCCAATTGGACACCACTTTATCGACAACAGATTCAGCTCGACGGAAAGCGGTCGGCAATCGATTGTCACCTTTGTTGTGTAACCGTTTGAGCATATCGGCCATCAGGTCACACATGATTCTGTTGTTCCAAGGTTTACAACCAAATGAGGGCCGAAAAATTGACGTATGGTCGGGAAAGAACGGAGAGCAAGGGGGAGAAGAAACAGGTTTTGGAATTACGGTAAAATATATGAGAAAATCTAAATGAATACGAATAATGAAAAGGGATCGTGGTAATAATGACTGTTCATTCCAATTTGAGTTACTCGATGTGGAAGAGCCATATAGACACCGCAAAAAGCCCAGAGAATATGAAGAGAAGAAAGCTATTGAGCCATTTTGTTCACTAGATTTTTGGAAGAACCACTCTCGATCAAACACAAAGCGACCGACTGATGCTTGCGACGGTAAACCACTGACTGGATAAGTAAATTGCACTGAAATCAAGCATACGCACGCGAACACACATTGGAGTAAGTGTGGTGGTGGCGCAGTGTTTTAGTCGCTGTCACTGGCGTGCTTTGGACCCTGTTGTCCGAGGTTCAAGCCCCTCCACCGCCACCCGACTTTGGTGGTCGGCAGCTCTGCTGACGTCCAGTTCAATATCACGCCTAACCTATCGGAGCCTTATGTGGTTCGCCAATCCAAGTTCCGGGAATTGGGTTGCCGGTTTCCACCACCAAACAACAGCAGGTCCTCGTGACTATGAGGTTCCCCCCGTCTACTATTCATCACACTTAGGTGTGTAATGAAAAAATTCAACGTTTTGTGGAGGACACATAAATAAAACATATAAGAGCGATTGATACTTGACACATGTAGCCCTCAAAAATTTCCCATACAAAAAAATACTGAGTCCAAAAACCTTGAGATTATTATGCTACGTGAATCGTAGTTGCACGAAGAAATTCCCAGTGAAATTGTACACCTGGACTTATTTAAGTTGTATCGAGTTGACGATCCCACGAGAGTCTGTAAACAAGAGACGAAGACGTTGCAAGTTACGTTCACAACAACTGGAGTAGACCAAATGCAGTGATCTAAGAATACTCGACGGACAAAACCATTTGTCGTGTCACTGAATGTAAGCGTCATTTTTTGAGCGGGTTTCGTTCCATACGTCTTGGAATCAGTTATCTGGCACCCACAGTACCAACATACGGCACCAATAGGCTTTCTACCTTCATAGCACGAACAAGCAGCTTTTTGTGTATATCCGTTGATTATTTTAATGAACATGATATAGATCAATTTCCTTGCCACATTGGGTCCACAAAATTTGGTATATTTTCATACCAGACGTGGTACACAACTGGACTTTGTTTTTACAAATAGACTGCAAGTTTTCAAAGTCTAGGACGTACTACTTCAATCATCTGAATCTTGAAAGTGTTTCCAACTATATACAGTAAAACTAATCGGTACTCGTTTTTAAGAATAGCATCCAAGATAATGAGTCAAAAGAATTGTTTGCCGGAGAACCTAGAAAGGCTAAAATCCCTGATTGCCACCATAGATTTTTCGGTTTCCACATCAGACCCGTTCGGTCCTAAATGTAAATAATGATAATAAACGTCAATTTACTTCCTCTTTTATTTATTGAATATATAAATGTACAGTTAACATTCAGGAAGGGGGGCCGCAGCGATACAAAGGCTTCGGAGAAAAAGGGCGGCGATGGAGCAGTTCGAACCCGGGACTCCCGGGACCCAACCACTTGTCCACCACAGCCCACCTCTGTGAACATGTTATTGACTACCTAAATTTTTGCTTTAACCAGTTTTACCCATTTTAAACGGTCTACATCCATAAGGATGGATATTCATCGCCGTCAGAAAAACAATAACACAGGCGGAAAGAACAGATCTATGGGTATGGATTTAGGACCCGTATCAGATGGCTTACGATTTCGATCAAATCTGAAATAAATCGGTTAAATAAATTGCACATAGACACTATCCTGGGAACAAACTGCAGTTGTCGTGGCATGCAAAGAGCTATCTATCACCTGTGGGACAATACCAATAAACACAAAAAGAAACTGAAAAGGAAGATGAATAAAGCATCTGGTGCGGACAAACTATCAGTCGTGATGCTCAAGGTATGTGCAGACATTTTCAGTTCCACTATCTAACACATACAAGAACTGTCTGATAAGCGGGAAAATTCTTAACCTATGGGTATTGGCTAGGATAACTCCCGTCCCAAAATAGGAACGAGGAATTNGGAATTACCGCCCCATCGCCTGTACTCAAATTAGTTAAAAGAAGCATGCTACCGAGGATTGTCATTGAGTCTGTGGAAGACGAGATACATCAAATCGTATATCACCGCACACGCCCAACACCTTGTTCACTCAATACTTTCGGTTCTAGATAAGAAATGTAAACCCGTCAGAATGGTGTTCTTAGACTACAAAAACGCATTCTTAAGTCTTCGGTGATCGGCATTGCTCAACCTGATTACCGAAAGTGGTGTTAATTTAAACGTTTATAGATTGAACCACGACTATTTCACTAATAGAAGGCAGCTCACATGCCTGAACGGTAGATTTTCTTCTCGATTTTGCCGTCCCGCGACGCGCAACTCTTCCCCGTTTCTCTTTTCAATGGATGTCAAATTATGTCCCATTGGTGTATATAAATATATATACATATAATCTTTTGACTTGATTCGCCCGGGGGGCAGGTTTCGCAGCCATAGAGCAACATGGCGCATACAATTGCGCAATACACATGTCCTTTCAGTGAAAGGGATGCCGTGCCGGCGCCCGAGATGCCGCAGATTAGCAAACGCCAATCTAGCTTTGATCACGCGTTGAGAGATCTCCTCGCCCACACCTCTGCCAGGCGTTGTGCAACTCCAAGGTTGACAAAGCTTTTCGACTGCTTCCAGGGTGTCATTACGCAACAAAAGTGCAGGAACGGCTTCCTGTAAATCTTGCAATCTTGCGAAAGCCTAACCTAACATAACCCTGGTATCATTGGTGCAGAAAAAAAGGTGCATCTTTTTCTCTCTCAAAAAAACGACAAAAAGAGTTTTACGAACCTGAAGATCAAAAATATCAGGAGTGTTTTCTGTCGCGTTTACACCCACGTGTGATCAGTTGGTGTACGCGTTTGCACGAATCTCGTCTTCTAAAATTAGTTTAATGAAAAATTGAAATGCAATTGAATAGATCAAATGCTTCTCCATAGACAGACAGGCACGGGTATAGTTCGGAAACTAACGACTGATACAAGAAGAGTACCAAAATTTGGAGCCTATTCTTTTTGTCCTCTTGTAACTGACACTGCTGGCACCCATTTTCACTTAACAAAGTACCACTAATTGAACAGTATAACCAGAAAAAGAACAATACGACCTCTTTAACTGTACTTTGAGGAACGTTACTATAAATACTAGTCATTATAGATACCATGTAGCCCTGTTCAGTATGCGTTTTGCACCTTCAAAGAGTAAAATTTTGCTCCAAAAATTGGGTTGGTCCAGCACCCAGTCATATTTTAATAGGGGAGGTAATAAAGCAGGTGCATGAGTTTTGTTAGTTCGGCAGTTACATATAACCCGGTGGACGCATCACGGATGAAGTGTCAGTCCGGATACAGAAAGCTCGGTTTGCATTTGACAACCTGAGATATCTGTGGCGCCGTCGCGACATCCGGCTGTCTGTGAAGGGTCGAGTATATGCTGTAGCAGTTCGGCCAGCGTCGCTTTACGGTGCAGAGCCTTGGCCATTACGAGAACAGAATAAAAATAGGTTGTCGGTGTTCGAACACCGCTGTCTACATTGCATTGCACAAGTCTGGTAGGGCAACCGGACGAGTAACGCTGAGGTTAAGCGCAGAGTTTTAGGTTATCCCGTTCGTTAACCTCCACATATTACGTTTTTTGGGCGCATATGTTAAGCATGTCACCAAATAGGTTACCACAGAGAACANAAAAAGCCAAAGGTGGTCAAGCTAAAACCTGGCATGAGAGTATGAAAACCGTAACCAGGGGACTGGGCCACATAGGTTGCAGAGTGCACTTATTTACACCCCTCCCGCCAAGATGACTGTGCTATCATTGGTCAGGACTAACGTTCGCTCGCTATTCGCGAAGATCTAAAGTTAACGGAAAAAGCCATTCTCAGTCGGTTGCGATCAGACCCCCTGCAGATAGCATATAAACCAAACAGATCTACATTGGATGCCGTGTCCACTCTAATACATTTTGTCAGAAAGTCATTGAACAATTCGGTCAAGTCTGTCCGTTGTTTTTCTTGACTATTAGTCTGCGTTTGATTCTGTTCCGCGATCATCCCTTCTTTTCAAACTTGAATCTTTTGGCACTCCAAAACGATTGCTCTCATGGCTTGCTGACTATTTCAAAGAGAAGGTCCAGTGCATCAAATTAGGAAGGAGGACATCAAAACCTCTTGTTAATAATTCTGGTGTTCTTCAAGGTGCTGTTCCATCTCCATACCTTTTTCTGCCTTTATTAGTAATCTTTCAGTCCCATCCGCTGCGCCCATCCAAAAGTATGCTGATGACATTGTTTTGTGTCAAACAGTTTCATCTCCTTCGGAATTTCATTCTTTTACCGAAAACCTATCCCAAATCCAACAGTTTTCCGATCACTCTGGTCTCAGTCTTAACATATCTAAATGCGTAGAGTGCATTTTCAGTTTTTTCCGCTCCTCATTCCCAACAGACTCTGCTACCTTTGACGGTAAACCTGTATCCAGAATGACCTCCGTCAAGTACCTGGATGTCACCATCGACAGTAATCTTCGTTGGTCTACACATATTTACAACTGTATGGGAAGACTGTGACGCCTATCTTTCAGTTACGCAAACTCAGGCAATTCCGAACCTCAGTCCTGTCATCCTTCGTTCATCAATGTGTTTTACCCATTCTACTCTACTGTTCCCCTGTAGTGTTTCCCGGTCTTTTAAAATAAGGCTTCAAAACAATTCGCCGTGGTTTGGTGATCATCAGTCGTGCATCATTAATTCCGATTGACTCAGTAATCACAGATTTCATCGATGATCACATCAACTCTTGTGTTAAAGTTGCTCATAAGATTCTAGATGA